GCGTCAGACCTCACCCTGCCGGCCGGGGAGGGCGCGGCGAGCGGGGATGTCAGGTGCGGAAGACGCTGTGGGGGCGGAACGGCATTAGCTGAGGCCCCGGTGTATGGCCTGCGCTCTCACCACCATTGACCAGCGGCGTCCGGCCCTCAGGACCGCGTGCAAGGTAGGCCCGGCCCTGTCCCTCCCCAGAGAGGTCAGGGAGCCCCGGTCCCGCTTCCGGCCCCCTCTGAGCGGTTCTCAGGCCCCCGCTCCCTCACGGGGTCCTCGTGCTGCCGTGGGACAGGCTGGCAGGCGTGAGGCGGACACAGCGTGGGCTCTGAAGTGCAGGGAGGAGGCCAGGGAAGGACCGGTCAGGGTCGGGCTTGGAGTGATTCTGGCCACCTGTCAATCACTGACCGTGTTCTGGGCAGGTGGCGTGCACCGTCCTATTGATTCCTCATTACAGCCTCATTAGCCCCGCCCACAGACGAGGCGTGCGGGACCAGAGAGGTGAAGTGACTTGCCCAAGGTCACACAGGCGGAAAGCGGACAGAGACTGGGAGTCGAAGCCACTGGATGGGGAGGGGGAGATAGGGGCTCTCGGGATTCACAAAGAGAAGAGAGTCAGGCCTCCCAGGGCCCAAGGAGCAGGGCGGAGGCCTGCAGGGGTGCAGGGGGTCATGGGCAGGAGCAGACACCCTGCCACCGTCTCCCCCCTCCCCCCCAGCTCGATCCATCCTCAGCCCCTTTCCCTCTGAGGGGCGCACAGCTGCCCGGGCCCTCTCCCTCCCCGCACAGCCCCTGTGAGAGCGGAGAGGACACCACCACACCCGGTGGGCGGCCTCCTTCAGGCCGGACGGGGCCAGCTCTGAGCTCCTCGGGGGCTGGGAATGGACGGTGCATTCCTCCCCGCTCCCGCCCTCTCATCCTTTCGGGGCACTGGGTGAGTCCCTCTGCCCTGCCGCCCCCCGGGCCTGCTCCCCCTGGTAGAGCCAGTCTCCCGCTGCAGACGATGCTGGGCACCTCCTTTCATTCCATCCTTCCTGCTCCCCCAGGGAGCGGCCACACCCCTCCCCTTTGTGCAGACAGAGAGGAGCATCGGCTTGAGCAGTCAGTGGCCGAACCAGGACTGGAAGCCAGGTTTTCTGGCATATTCGTCATCTTCTTCATCTCCCTGTCCTGTGCCTTTCCCTGCAACGCCTGAGGCCATCCCAGCCGCAGTGTCGATGACGAGCGCTGATGGCGTTTGCCGCCACAGTGCCCCCGTGGGGTAGATACCGTGATCAGCATCCCCATTTCGCAGATGGAGAAACCGAGGCCCAAAGAAGACACGCTCGGAGGTGACAGGCCTCGCCGCCCCAAACACAAGTGCCCAGCCAGCACGTAATTCCATAAAGTGGAAAGCAGTCCAGGCATGCGGACGGCGCGGCCCGGGCTCAGGGAGGCAGGGGGCAGCGCAGCACAGCCAGCGAGGGCTTTGGAGAGCAGAGGGGCCGGGGCCGGGCCGGGGCCAGGCCGGGGCGAGGGCTGGGGGCCGGGGACTGGGGCCGGGCTGAGCCAGGCGCCTGGAGCCAGCCAGACCTGAATGGGTACCCCAGCTCTCCCACTTCTACCGTGTGACCCCCTATCCCCATCCTTCTCCCCGCCCCCCGCAGCCTGTGATTCCTCAGCGGGAGGGACATCCTCGCCCCCCTGTGCAGGGCGGGGCCTGGCCAATGCCTGTTCGGTAAACGGAGGGCCGCTGAGGCTCCGTGAGCTGGACCGGCCGTCCGAGGTCAGCTCCTAAGAGCAGCCACAGACGATGGTGCAGTGGGTCCCACGGCCGAGTCACCTCCCCTCCCTGTCACCCCCTGGCCCCCAGGAGAGGCAGGAGGCCCTGCAGGCGGCGGGGTGTCCTCGTGTGGCTCCTGCCCCACAGCGGGAGTGTGGACCAGCCCGCCCGGGGCCCAGGCCCGCCCCTGCTTCTGTCTGGGGTTGGGGCCACCGAGGCGCCGCCCCGCGCCTCCCACGCGTGGTGAGCGTGCGCACGGGAGACGTGCCCGGTGCTGGGACCCCCGGGGGCTGCTGCCGCCCTGTCAGCTTTCCTTCCGGAAAGTGTTGTGGACAAGGGATCGCACCTCAGCTTTGCCACAGAGTCAGAGGGAAAATGTAAGAGATGACAGAGCAGGTCTCCTTCCTACTTCCTCGGACCCCTGGCCGGCAGGTCTCCCCCCCCTCCCTCCCCCAGCTCCTCAGGAAGGACCAGGCAGCTCACAGCCCTGCTGCTCACCTGCACCATCTCGCTGTGCCATATCCCTGCTCTCTGCCTCAGTTTCCCTAGTTGTCGAGGGAAGTCTGGACTAGGGGGCCTCAGATTTTAGATGTTCGCAATGTAGTAAAATTTTTTTAAAATATATTTTTATTGATTTCAGAAAAGAAAGGAGAGGGAGAGAGAGAATCATCAATGATGAGAGAGAATCATTGATCGGCTGGCTCCTGGGAATTGAGCCTGCATCCAGGCCTGTGCCCTGACGGGGAACCGAACCGTGACCTCCTGGTTCACGGTCGACACTCACCCACTGAGCCACACCGGCCAGGACACGGTACATTTTTTTTGATCGGTGACTGGCACAGCACGGTCAGCCTTCACGTTGCCAAGGAAGGACGTGAGGTTTGTGAATCGCAGCCGGCACGTCCCATCCCCGTTCCTTCTCCCGAAGAAATTCCGTTCCCAGGAAGGGAGCCCAGGCTGCGCTCAGACCGCGGGAAGTGCCGGGGGAGGAGCCGGGCCGGAGGAGGGCGGCCTGGCCAGGTCAGGGACAGCCCCTCTGGGCAGAGAGCCTGGGGCAAGGCCCTCACCCTCTCTGGGCCTCGGCGACCTCCTCCGTGCAAGGCTGGGTCACCACCCGTCCCCTCTGCCCCCTCCTCCCTGCCCCGGCCTCACCCCTGTGCCCTCCGGGGGGAAGCCCCTCTTCCCAGCAGCACCTGGGCGGCCCCGGCCTCATCCCGGGCCCCTTAGCTGGTCTGTCCCTGCTCCGGGCTTCCCGGGCTCACGTACACGAGGGCCTGGACATCAGCGAGCCTCAGTTCCCCCCGTGGTGTGACGGAGGCAGGCCCGGGGGAGGGACAGAGCAGGGCAGGGACGCTCCCTAGAAACTGCTTCCAGCCAGAAGGCACCTGGCACCCTGGCTGTTGAGCCTCTGGGTGGGGTGGGGGGGGTGGCGGAGAGAGCCTGGGTGCCCGGGAAAAGGTGTGACCCCTGAAGGGCCGGCATCACAGGGCATCATCGCCAGCTGGGTCTTCAGGTGGATGGGCTCACTCATCCCGTTTCCCAGGTGAGGAACCGAGGCTCCGGTCAGGCCAGTAGCTTCAGTTACAGGGCGGCTCTGGCTCTTCCGCCGGGGCCTGGGGGCCGGGAGCTCCTGGAAGGGAGCGGGGCCAGGGGGCCGCGGGAGGGGCGGGCGCTCCGGCTGAGCGGGCGTCTCTGCGGGAAGAGGCGGGCTCCGGAGCCGCTGATCTCTAAATTACAGCGTTGGCGCGCACGGTTGCTGCGGCAACCGAGGTGTCCTGCGCGGGGAAGTGTATAAACATTGCCACAGATGCACAATTAGATCAGGAGGAAGAATAGCACAGAAAATAGAAACTTTCAGCCTTATGTAATTCCGGGCCAAAACGCTCCCGGGAGCCGAGGCGCGGGCCGGCCCTGCCAGGGGCCCCTGGAGGAGAGGGATGAGGGAGGGCCTGCCCCCGCCCCCCACGGGCCCAGCTGCGCGCCCTGCCACCGGCGGGGGGAGGGGCTGCCTCTGCCCAAACAGCTGGGCAGCTGACAGCCCGGCCTGCCTCCGCCCGCTCCCCCTGCCCCGGGGGGCGGGAGGGCGCCCGGAGAGCGATCGCCTACCTTCTCAGGCTACAAACGCAGGAAGTGAGGTGATGGAGGTGCCCCAAGGGGACACGGGTCGGGTCGGTGGGTGTGGGACCTTCCCTGGCTGAGGCTCCGCAGGCTGGACGCACGGGAGCTGACACGTGGGGACAGAGGCAGCCCCCCTGGGCGTGACCCGCTGACCCCTGTGCGGCCGGGGGCAGGTCACGGCCCGCTCGGAGCCCCTCTTCCTGTGACGTGGGAATAGCGGTGCCCACACGGAGCCACGCGCAGGGTCCCCCTTCCTGTCTGGCCCGCCATGGGGTCGTCCCCCCCTCCCACTGCTCCCAGCGAGTCTGGGACAGGACGGGAGCTGAGCGGGGCTTCCTGCGTGTTGGGCGTGTCCTGTCAGCCGTCCAGCGTGGCAGCCGGCAGCCACGGGCACTTGGCGGTGACATGTGGCTAGTGTAACTGTGGAACTGAGTTAAGTTTTAATCTTAGCGAATGTCAGGAGCCACAGGTGGCAGTGGCTGTCGTGTTGACAGCACAGGGGAACAGCCTGCCCGGAAAGACCCAGAGGCAGAGGGTGCTGCCGGGGGTGAGCAGGGGCCGGAGCCTCACAGCTCCCTCTGCTCAGGGCGCTGGTGGCAGGCTGGGCACCTGGAAGCCCGGGCTTGGAGCGGTGGGCAGAGGAGGGGCAGCGGGAGGGCTGGGGCTGGGCCCTGGATCCTGGTGGCCCAGCTCCTGGCCTGGCAGAGACCCCAGTGCTGGAGCTGGGCTGGCTGTAGAGGCGCTGGCTCCGGTCCCAACACCCCTACCTGTTTGTTTATTTTTTTTAATATATATATTTTTATTGATTTCAGAGAGGAAGGGAGAGGAAGACAGAAAGAGAGAAACATCCATGATGAGAGAGAATCACCGATCGGCTGCCTCCTGCACGCCCCACCCTGGGGATCGAGCCCACAGCCCAGGCATGTGCCCTTGACCGGAATCGAACCTGGGACCCCTGATTCCGCAGGCGGATGCTCTACCCACTGAACCACACCGGCCAGGGCCCGACACCCTCCCTGTGGTCAGAGCCACCTTCCCTGTCACGTGCTGCTGGCCCGGGCGCTTCCCCTTCTGTCCTTCCCCCAGAGCGGGGCTCCCAGCATCTCACGTGTCTGTCCCCCCCGCCCCCCAGGCCCCGTGTCTCCCCGCTGACCCGCCCGCCCGCCTCGGGACATGCTGGGGCACAGCCGCAACGGGCAGGCCCACGTGCCCCGGCGGAAGCGCCGCAACCGCTTCGTCAAGAAGAACGGCCAGTGCAACATCGAGTTCGCCAACATGGACGAGAAGTCCCAGCGCTACCTGGCCGACATGTTCACCACCTGCGTGGACATCCGCTGGCGCTACATGCTCATGATCTTCTCGGCGGCCTTCCTGGTGTCCTGGCTCTTCTTCGGCCTCCTGTTCTGGTGCATCGCCTTCCTGCACGGGGACCTGGAGGCGGGCCCGTCTGCGGGGGCCCCGGCGGCCCCCAAGCCCTGCATCATGCACGTCCACGGCTTCCTGGGCGCCTTCCTGTTCTCGGTGGAGACGCAGACCACCATCGGCTACGGGCTGCGCTGCGTGACGGAGGAGTGCCCCGTGGCCGTCTTCACGGTGGTGGCGCAGTCCATCGTGGGCTGCATCATCGACTCCTTCATGATCGGCGCCATCATGGCCAAGATGGCCCGGCCCAAGAAGCGGGCGCAGACGCTGCTGTTCAGCCACCACGCGGTGGTGGCGCTGCGGGACGGCCGGCTCTGCCTCATGTGGCGCGTGGGCAACCTGCGCAAGAGCCACATCGTGGAGGCCCACGTGCGGGCCCAGCTCATCAAGCCCCGGGTCACGCAGGAGGGCGAGTACCTGCCGCTGGACCAGCTGGACATGGACGTGGGCTTCGACAAGGGCCTGGACCGCATCTTCCTGGTGTCGCCCATCACCATCTTGCACGAGATCGACGAGACCAGCCCGCTGTTCGGCATTAGCCGGCAGGACCTGGAGGCGGATGACTTCGAGATCGTGGTCATCCTGGAGGGCATGGTGGAGGCCACGGCCATGACCACGCAGGCCCGCAGCTCCTACCTGGCCAGCGAGATCCTCTGGGGCCACCGCTTCGAGCCTGTCCTCTTTGAGGAGAAGAACCAGTACAAGATCGACTACTCGCGCTTCCACAAGACCTACGAGGTGCCCGGCACGCCCTGCTGCTCCGCCCGGGAGCTGCAGGAGAGCAAGATCACCGTGCTGCCCGCCCCGCCGCCGCCGCCCAGCGCCTTCTGCTACGAGAACGAGCTGGCGCTGCTGAGCCCCGAGGAGGAGGAGCTGGAGGAGGAGGCGGCGGCCGCGGCGGCCGCGGTGGCGGCCGGGCTGGGCCTGGAGGCCGGCTCCAAGGAGGAGGCGGGCATCATCCGGATGCTGGAGTTCGGCAGCCACCTGGACCTGGAGCGCATGCAGGCCACCCTGCCGCTGGACAGCATGGCCTACCGCCGGGAGTCGGCCATCTGACCCGGGGCCCGCCCGCCCGCCCACCCGCCTCCCGGAGCCTCTGCGGGGGGTGCGGTGCCGGGACACCCCTCCGCTCTCAGGCCGGCGCCGGCCGGGCTCCCGGGACCCTCTGGAGGGAGGCGGGCTTCAGAGCTGGGGCCCCCTTCCCGCTGACTCAGGTGCCCACACCGGGAAGGGCACCGGGCGCCCTCTGCCCAGCGCCTGCCCGCTGGCGGTTCCGGGACCCGGACTCACCGTCCTTCCCCCACCAATCCTCAAGGACGAGCCCTTTGCTCTCAGGACCTGGGGGCGCACTGGGCTGCAGAGGGCGGCGTCAGAGGGCCGGGTGCGGGGAGTGGGGGGAGGGCAGGTGGGCGCGTGTCTTTGCATGACTGTGACCTGTTGCTCATGACGTTCTTTTGTAAATCCCTGTACACGGAGGGGACGGAGGCGCGGATCCACCGGCTGTCCCTCCGTGCACCCCCTCCCGGGCGGCCCCGCCCTGCCCTCCTGGCTGCCCCCGGGAGCCCTCAGAGCCGGCTCCTTGCCCCGATGGTGCTGGTCTGAGTGTGGAGGTGGAGCCCACGGGCGGACGCAGGGCCACCCTCCCTGAGTGTCTCCGGCCCCGGACCCAGCCCCGACCGACCGTGGATTTGTAACTCTATATTTTTAATAAAGTATATGGCCCACTGGGGTAGGCTGACTGCAGATGGAGGGCTGGGAAGAAGAGAGAGACCAACATAATGAGCGTGTGTCTGCGTGTGGTGTGGGTGTGTGTATGACATGTATATGTGCGGTGTGTGCGCTATGTGTGTGTGTGTGTTGTATGTGAGTGTATCGTATGTAGCATGCCTGTGCGTTCTGTGTGTGGTATATGGATGTGTATGTGCTATGCACGTGTGTGTATTGCATGTGACATGTCTGTGCATTGTGTGAGTGTATGGGTGTGTGTGGTATGTGTGTGGTATGCATGCGTATATTGCATGTAGCATGCCTGTGCATTGTGTGTGAGGTGTGGGTGGGTGTGGTGCCTGTGTGGATATGGATGTGTGTGGATATTTGTGCCCTTTGTGGACACTGGCCCTGCAGGGACCTTTATCACCTGCCATTCTCCTTCCTGGGAGCCCGTGCGAAGGGTCTGAGTGGCCTCAGAGCTCCAGTGGGTTTGAGTCAGAGCTTTGCTGTCCTGCTGTGGTGTCAGCAGGTGGTCCATCGTTCGGCCTCGGTTCACATCGGTGGGGTGGGGTGAACATCCCTCCCTCCCAGGAGATGGTGGACAGGAGGCTCCTGTGAAGTCAGCCAGCCCTCTATAACCCGGGGACGCGGGGAGGGCCCTGATGGACGCCCTCACACCAGGCACAGCACCCACGGGGCTGGTCAGTGGCCGCAGACACCGCGATGGGAGGGCCTGGGAGCCGCTGGGACTCCCGGGGAGCCAGGCCTGCCTCTGCCTTGCTGTGGGACCGTGGTGAGTCCCTCCCTCCTCTGGCTCAGTCAGCCTGTGCTGAGTAACAAACATCCCCCTCAGCAGCAGGGTTTCTTCTTAAGCATGTGTGGGGGCTGGTGGCTGCTTGTCCGGCTTCCTCCGGCTCACTCCAGCAGCTACGCCAGCTGGGACGTCAGCTCGGCCGTGAGGACCAGATGGCCTCCCCATGTCAGGGACGGGCTGGCGGTCAGCCAGGGCCGTGGCTCCCCGGCACCAGACCCTCCTGGGGTCTCAGGACAGCAACTCAGAGGGTGGGGAGGAGATCTCTGAGACCCTGGACTTGCATGCCATCGCCTCCGCTGTGCTCCATGGCCACCGCAGGCCACGAGGCCAGCCCCGTGCGAAGGGAGGGCATCGGGCTCCGCCTCTCGGGGCCTCTGTCAGGTCCGTGGCAGAGGCACGGCACCGCCAGGAGCGTGGCCGCAGCTCGGGGTCTGTCCCTGAGCTTTGAGCCGGAGGGTTACCGCCGGCTCTAACTCTGCCCTGCAGGCCCACCGCGCGCCCGGTGCCCGGTGTGTGAGGCAGCAGAGGGCACCCTCTTCCTCCTCCGGAATCTTCTCTGCAAAGGTGCCCGCGGCCTTCGGAAACGGAGCCAGCGGGCCAGCTCCCGCCGGGCGCTCCGTGGGCCGCCACGTTCACCAGCGCTGGCGGCGGGGCTGCGCCCGGTAAACCCTGGCACCGTGTGCTCGGCAGTTCCTTCAGGAGCCTGTGGCTCCGGAGACAGAGGCCACCGGCTCCAATCCCCCAACACGTGGCTCGTCACCTCGTCCTTCTCTGCTCACATCGTTTGCGTCCTTTAGTTCCCGGGATTCCTGCCAAAGCCCAGGGGGCGGGGGGACGGGGACTGGGCCCTCAGCCCCTCTCTCACGCCCTCGGGCAGGGGTTCAGGGGGGCTCCGCCCCCCCAGGGCTTCCCGAGGGCCCCTCCGAGGGCCGCAGGGGCCGCCCAGCTCCCAGCTCCCAGGGGGCCTGGTGCCTTCTGCCAGGGGCCAGCACCGTGTCTCCCAGGGGCCTCTTCAGAGAGGGCTCCCCAGCCTGCAGGCCTGGGCGGACCTCCAGGGGTCTTCCCTGTCTGCTTGGTCCTCACTGACGCTTTGGCACGGGGGCGGGGTGGTGTGGAGCTCAGGCACGCAGAGCCTCCCACCGGGACCCCTGAGGGAAGGGGAAAGGGGTACCTCGGGGCCCCTAAGAGGGCCTCCCATCCAGAGGGAGTGGGGCACCTCAGGGTCCCTCCCAAACCCTCTCCTGGTCCCCAGGTGGCCACCGGCTCAGACACCGCTGCCTGTGTTAGCGTGGAGTGACGGGGGCACAGGAGGGCGAGTCTGACAAGCACCCAAAGCAAGGACTTCCTGGATGCCGAGCGGAAGTGCCATGTGGGCTCTGAGTGGGCACGGGGAGGGCACGGGGAGGGCTCTGAGTGGGCTCTGGGTGAGCACGGGGAGGGCTCTGAGTGGGCTCTGGGTGGGCCTGGGGAGGGCTCTGGGTGGGCACGGGGAGGGCTCTGGGTGGACACAGGGAGGGCTCTGGGTGGGCCTAGGGTGGGCTCTGGGTGGACACGGGGAAGGCTCTGGGTGGGCCTGGGGAGGGCTCTGGGTGGGCTCTGGGTGGGCACGGGGAGGGCTCTGGGTTGGCTCTGAGTGGGCTCTGGGTGAGCACGGGGAGGGCTCTGAGTGGGCTCTGGGTGGGCACGGGGAGGGCTCTGGGTGGGCACGGGGCGGGCTCTGGGTGGGCACGGGGAGGGCTCTGGGTGGGCTCTGGGTGGGCAAGGGGTGGGCTCTGGGTGGGCACGGGGAGGGGCCGCGGGCTGCGGAGTTTGGAGAGGCAGGCACTGCTGCAGGGAGGCTGGGCTCAGCTGCAAACCGCTGGCTCTGCTCGCTCCCGCTGACTCACCTCCTGCTCCCACCTGTTCCCCTCACAGCCTCCCACCTGCCGCCCCCACCTGCGCGGCTCCCGCGCTCCAAAGAGGGGGATGGCGGGACCCGGGGGTGAGAACCTCAGCTGTCACGGGCTTGGAGGGATGGACACTGGCTGGCTGAAGGGCCCCTGATCACCTCTCCCCCTCAGTCCCAGGGTGGGGCGGGAGGCGGGAGAGGGAAGAGGGTACAAGTTCAAGGGGACCGCCAAGAGTTTCAACAATGTCACCCAATAGGTTCAATAAAAATTAACTTTTAAAAAGAATTTCAAGACAGAGGCCACGGAGCATTAGGCCAAGCCCGGCCGAGCTGTCAGCCATTCTCTCCCTCGTGTCTCACTCCTCCTCTATCTCCTGGTACCGATCGCCAGGGCCGTGGGTAACATGTTTGTGCGGTGTTTTGTTTTTTGTCAGTTTTAAATATGTAAATATAGCCGAAACCGGTTTGGTCCAGTGGTAGAGCGTCGGTCTGCAAACTGAAAGGTCCCAGGTTCGATTCCGGTCAAGGGCATGTACCTTGGTTATGGGCACATCCCCGGTAGGGGGTGTGCAAGAGGCAGCTGGTCGATGTTTCTCTCTCATCGACGTTTCTAGCTCTCTATCTCTCTCCCTTCCTCTCTGTAAAAAATCAAAAAAAATATTTAAATATATAAATATAGATATTGATTTCAGAGAGGGAGTTGGAGATAGAAACATCAATGATCGGCTGCCTCCTGAACGCCCCCCACTGGGGATGTGCCTGCAACCAAGGTACATGCCCTTGACCGGAATAGAACCCGGGACCCTTCAGTCTGCAGGCCGACGCTCTACCCACTGAGCCACACCGGTCAGGGCTCAGTTCCCCATCGTTAAAGTCAGACAGCGATTGGGAGGATGCCCTGTGGCCTCCTCCAGGGCTCCCCTCACCCCATGCTCACCGCCTCAGACCTGGAGTAAAACCCCTGCCGGGCCCAGCGGGAGCCTGCCATCGCTGGGCCCTCGTTCACCCTCCATCCAGTAAGCGCTGTGAGCACCGATGGGGAGCAAGGAGGAGAGAGTTCAGGCCCGAGCCAGACAGGGCCGCCGCCTCCCCCGTGGGCTGTGGGTGCCGAGGCCTCTGCTGGGCCCGTGGGCAACTCTTGCTCGAGCTGGACGGCGGAGCGGGCTCCCTGGTTACGGTCGCCATGGCTGTCCACTGCAGCTGCCGGTGCCATGGCAACGGGGCAGTTAGGCAAGAGCCGCTGCGGGGTGGGAGCTCCTGCGGCTTCCCAGGTGCCCGCGGTGGAGGAGGCGACGGCCCTCGGACAGAGGAAGGCCCACGGAGGGTGGGGTGCCACCCTGAGGGGCGGGCGCAGAGCCCCGTCCAGACCAGGCTCTTGGCGCCCGGCGTGGCCCCGGCGTGGCCCCGGCGTGGCCCCCTCCCGGACGCGGCCCTGGAGAGGCTCCGAGCCCACGCCTGCCCCGCAGAGCGGAGGCTCGGTCACCGTCCTCCCTGCTCAGCTCAGGACCGTCCGAGCCTGTCTGAGTCCTCTCCCCGCTCCCGCCTGCCCTCCCTGCCCACCGGGCCAAGTCCAGGGAGGAGGGGGCGGGGCGGGGCGGGGCGGCGGACTGGAGGGGGATTCCTGCACTGACTGGGGCCAGGGGACACAGATGGGGGAGGGGAGAGGCTCAGGGAGACCGAGGCAGACGGTGATGGGGCCAGAGGACGATGGAGAGACCGAGGCTGAGCGAGGCGCCCCAGGACAGGGAGCGCAGGCAGAGGGGCTGGGGGAGACTGAGCCCCAGAGAGGGCTCTGGAGTTGGTAGAGGCCCAGAGGGCTCAGAAGGAAGGAAGGAAGGAAGGGAGGGAGGGAGGGAGGAAGGAAGAAAGGAGGGAGGGAGAGAGGGAGGGAGGGAGGGAGGGAGGGGGGGGAAGGAGGGAGGGAGGAAAAAAGGGAGGGAAGGAGAGATGGAGGGAGGGAGGGAGGGAGGGGGGAGGGAGGGAGGGAGGGAGGAAGGAAGAAAGGAGGGAGGGAGAGAGGGAGGGAGGGAGGGAGGGAGGGAGGGGAAGGAGGGAGGGAGGAAAAAAGGGAGGGAAGGAGAGATGGAGGGAGGGAGGGAGGGAGGGAGGAA